ATAATCATATAGTACCAGTAAACATAGATGTCAATAAATATTAATAAATATTAATAAGTGATGGCGGTATTCTCTCAGCTTCCAGATGGTCATTGCTACAACAGTCAGGGCAGCCACCAGGCTGTTAGTTATTGGGTCGGTGCTGGTGTTGGGGCCAGGGCTGTAATATTAGGAGGCAGCACCCTAATTGAAGGCCTGGTGGAAGAGCTCCGTTTTACAGGCCCTGCGGAACTGTATGAGATTTCTTCATACATGGGTGCTCAATCTTTTCACAGATATGGATTATATTGTGGTGTTTCTTGTACTGGAAAGTTTAACAAAGCAGGTGGAATATAATATGTTTGAGTCAAGAATGTAAAGCAGGTCCATTGTCTGGGTCCCAACCATGTGCAGCCTTGATTTGTGCCCTTCATGGCTTATAAAAGATGGCCATGAGGGGTTACGAGGTGCCCTCCAGGATATTATCAACAAGTCCTTCGCCGAGGGACTGTTCCCAGGGGCACTCAAGGAAGCGATGGTCCGCCCTCTCTTGAAAAAACCATCCTTGGACCCGGCTGAATTGGCCAACTATCGGCCGGTCTCCAATTTGTCCTATTTGGGCCAGGTCATGGGACAGAGACAGCACTGGTTGCCCTCACAGACAACCTCCGGAGGCATCTGGATCGAGGCGGTACAGCAGTGCTGTTGTTGTTAGACCTGTTGGTAGTGTTTGACACCGTCGACCATCAGCTACTAATCCACCGCCTCACTGACAATGGGATTCAGGAGTTTGCCTTGCAATGGCTTGTCTCCTTTCTCCAAGGTCAGGGACAGAGGGTGGCATTAGGGGAGCAGACGTCCCCCAGGTACCTGCTGGTCTGCAGGGTTTCTCAAGGGGCAGTACTGTCCCCGATTTTATTTAAAATCTACATTCAGTGCCTCGCCCAGATTGCCTGGAGACATAGGCAAGGGTGCCATAAATATGCAGATGACACCCAGCTACATCTGTTGTTGGGTGGTCAGTCCAACTCTACCCCACATGACCTGGAGTGGGAGCTTCATGATGTGGTGGGCTGGCTTAGATTGAGCCGATTGAAATTGAATCCAATTAAGATGGAGGCCCTGTGCCTGAGTTGGAGCAGATCAGGGGTAGGGATCCCACTCCTGACCTTCGATGGGGCGCCATTGGTGCCAGCGCCAAGGGTTAGGAGTTTGGGAGTGCTCCTGGATGCCGCCTTAACAATGGAGGCCCAGGTAGCAGCCACTGCCAAGGTGCCGGTCTTGACCTTTAAAGCCCTATATGATCAGGGGCCTGCCTACTTGAGGAACCACCTTTCCCCACATGTGCCCCAGAGAGCACTTGAGGTCAGGGACACAGAACCGCCTGACTCTCCCTAGCTCGAGAAACGCCAGGTTGGCCATTACTAGAGCCAGGGCCTTTTCAGTGGCGGCTCCACACTGGTGGAATGAGCTCCTGGATAACATCAGGGCCCTGTGGGACCTTTTACAGTTCCACAGGGCCTGTAAAATGGAGCTCTTCCACCAGGCCTTCGATTAGGAGCCGCCACTGACTAATGTGCCACCGGAACACACTACGGCCCGTATGAAACATTGGTGGATATTGCCTTCCTCTGTTGGATTGTATATTGAATGCCGCTATCATTTGCATTGTGAAAATTTCATGATGTTAGGTAGTTGTTTATGTATATTTTATTGTATTTTATTGTATTTACTGTTTTATTGCTTTTAATGCTTGTTCACCGCCTTGAGCCAGTTTCCCAGCAAGGCGGGATACAAATGGAAAATAATAAATAAATAATAAACTGAAATAGTATCCACAAAATAAGTTAATGCCTATGATAATATCCCTTTTTGTAGTTACTGTTTGCCTCAATTCTTTGTAGTATGTTATAGTCAAATAGAAGCAAAGTGGATGTGGAAATCTCTGTAAGAGACTTAATACTTCAGACTAATTGCCTTCTTTTGTAAATGCCCTCATTAATCATTTCGGAACCTGCATGTTCCTGATTTGCTTCAGTACATGCTTTGCAAGACTGTAGAAGGTAATGGGTTGAATGTAAGCCATGAGCAGAGCTGGCATTGTGGAACAGATCTCCTGGGTGCCTCTAGGGTTCAGAAGAGCCCTAGGAGTACGGAGGGATGTGTGCGTGTGACAAAAATGTTGTCTGCCAGCAGAAATGCCGTTCCACTGGTAGGAAAGTGAGCACTGAATCAAATACTTTGTTTTTATTAGCATTTATAGTTGTTTAGATATGTTAGATAGTTGTTTAGATATGTTAGATTTGTTCTGCCAGGATTTAGAAATACCAATATGTCTTACCAGGGGTAATTTCATAGAAAAAGAGGTGCAGGAGCTCATTAGCATAACTTATTTGCATGTACCACACCCCCTAACATCACCAGAAGTGTGTCAGAAGGCAACACCCACCACACAGGCTCCACTAGACTGTTTTGGATTGCTAGCTATTGGGGGAGGGGGAATGTGCAGATCTGTCCTTGCAGAGAAGGGAGATCTTGTACCTAAATAAAACTTTGTCTTAAAGGTACCACTCGACTGTTTTGGACCGGGGGGCTGGGGGAGGCTCTGCAACTTACCTGGCTGCTTCTTGCTCTGACTGAGGGCTGCTGGGAGCAGGAGGCGGGGCTTGTTACATGTGCCGCCCCCTGGGTTCTTTACTGCCGGAGCTCCGCTCCTGTGCGCTCCTGCAGGAAATGACCCCTGTGTCTTACATAAAGTAAGTTCCTGTAGAAGAGTACCTATAGATTTGTTTGGATATAGGGTATAACCATCAGTTATTGCTATGACTGGTAACCATTTCTGTACTTCCATATTTATTTGTTTTCCTTAAATATTTATCCAGAGGATACTTGCAGGAGCAACTGCTGAATGAAAAATGCCATTTGAAAAATGTGTAGAGGTATAAGCAACAAAAGATAAGAATTTGCATTTGTAGCTTGCCTTTAGCTTGTGACTGTTGTAATCTAAGTGATGCAAAAATACTCACTGTAGTAAAGTTTAGCTGTGTTTTGGGATCTTGAGAGATGCAGTAATCCCTCAGTGTTTGTTTAATTGTGATAAAATAGATGTCTTTCTATAATGAAAGGCTTGTACCAAAAATGGACAGAACCACTTTGTGTGGTTTAGTTACAGGTACTAGCAAAGGAAATGGCACATTTTACTACCAGTTAAGTGTGCGAACTCTAATCTGGGAGAACCGGGTTTGATTCCCCACTCCTCCACTTACAGCTGCTGAATGACCTTGGGCAAGCCATCGTTCTGACAAGAGCTGTCCTTGAAAGGGCAGTTCTTGAAAGAGCTCTCTCAGCCCCACCTAACTCACAGGGTGTCTGTTGTGGGGAGGTGAAGGGAAAGTAGTTTGTAAGTCACTCTGAATGAAGGGCGGGGTATAAATCCAATCTCCTCCTCCTCTTCCTCCTCCTGCTAAGGTTCCCCTTTTCCTCATTTTGTAAAACGTTTCATTTCTATTTCACTGTGCTGTGGTAGAGATCAGAATTCATTTAGCACAAATGGGATTTGAGGATAGTGCCTGTAAAGTATGTTTTCCTTCCTTTGATTCAGGTTTATGCTCTTTTCAATAAAGCTGAAGCACTGGCATTTATAGTGATGAGTTGCATTATGCATACATTTTGGATTGTCATATGCTTATTATGCTCTAGATTCTTTCAAGCCTTTTGCTGTATTTGTTCTGCAGTCTATAATGCAACTACATCCTTGATACCTTAACTGATCATATTTTTCCACTGTTGTAGTAAGGTATGTGCTAGCTGTTATACGCTAAGCTGAATGACCATAAAAAGCCCTCATTGCCTGATTTTTTTTCCAACTGCAGTGTATGGGGGGGGGGGGAAGAGGTCACTAACCCAGTTGGACATTGATTTTTTGGCAAACTGTGATCTTCAGATACTTTCTCAGGCATTGTAAATACTAGTTGTCACCACCTGAGGGTGCATTCATATAACATTTATCATATAGAATTGATGTGGGAAGTCATTTGCTAGTGACAGCATCACATTATTTGCCCTGACCTAAATGACCCAAGCTAGCTGAATCTTGGAGGTTAAGCAGGATTAGCCCTGGTTAGTACTCGGTAAGACCACCAAGCATGTCCAGGTCTGTTACACAGAAGCAGGCAGTGGCAAACCACCTCTGTTTGCCTCTTGCCTTGAAAACCCCACAGGATCAATGTAAGTCAGCTGTGACTTGACAGCACTTTCCTCCACCACATTAAGTGCCTATGAATGTAGCTTGGATATGATATTTTTTACAATAGATTAAGCTGACATCAGGTCGCTGTTACAATGTAGAAATCCGGTCTTGATAGATCAGTGAAGCGTTCCATTCCTGTCAGTTATACTGGAATGTCATTATAAGGATGTGGTTTTTCTCCTTGCCACTGTCTTTATCCCTACCCCAACCATGAAAGGCAAAGATTGAAAGTCAAAGAGAAGAATATCTTGGCATGTTGGCCAGCAATCAAAGAGAACCTAAAGGCCTTGGCCCTTGGAACAACTGCATATCATTTTGCAGAAACGCCTTCTCAGTTCCCCATTGGAAATGAGTGGGAAAACAATCTCGAAGTCTAATTGGACTTATATTTAATTTTATGTATACTTAATTTGTAACTTTTTTTGAGCAGCTGAATGATCACTTTGAATATTAATGCTATGATTTAACATTTATATTGTACCAGTGTCTAGAATTGTGGGAATCAAAGTACATTGAGCAGAAGAGAAATTGTCAGTTCTCAATATGCCATGAGTTGTTTCCAGAAAGTAAAATGCCATACACAATGCAATGCTGAAGATCAGTGGCTTAGAAAAAATGCAGCTTGTCATTCTGACCTTTTAAAAAAGGAAGCAATCATTGTATTAACTTGGAGGAGTTAGTTTTGAAAATGTAGTGTGTTATTTAGCGGTAATATATTAAAAGTGTGCAATCTTAAGGAATGTATGCTTTCATGAAATAATTTCTTTTTTAGAAGAGGCTACAGAAAGAGCTATTGGCTTTACAGAATGACCCACCTCCCGGAATGACTTTGAATGAAAAGAGTGTACAAAATTCAATTACACAGTGAGTGTCTACTTCTTCATAAGTTTTGTTCCAAGTGAATAATATTTTCCTATCAATATACTGTTTAAAAATGTAAAATAAAGCAGTATATGATGCACATATGTGCATTAGTGATACTCCTAATTATAGCATAGTATATCTCTGTGGTATGGAAGCTACAGAATGGAGGCGACTAAAAATGTTTTTATTTAACATTGTGGCTGTTTGGTCTGAGTCGAGTCCCAAATTGTAATTGGAACAGGCTATTTTTAAAGTGTTTTACTTCTTGTCTATTGGATGCAAGGTAATGAAATAATAATAGAAGTAATCAGGAGGGAGGAGAAGCCCCATACAGGAATTGCACTATATTGTAGAAATTCTGCTTGAATACTTTTGTTGACTTGTTTGAAGAATCCTACAAATAGGGTCTCCATACTGACCACTTGTCTGTGTTTTTTCCTGGAATCTGGACATACTGCCTGGCCCAGATTCTTGACTTCCTTTTTTAAAAATCTAGAGATGGAAGGTAAAATATACAGATAGTTTTCTGCCTAATTTATCCAGTGGGAACAGTTGCATCCCACCTTCTACCCAGTGGTGCAAATCATGGGTATGATTGACAGGCCTTGCTTCCCATTTGACATGAGCTTTTTCTTCTAAGCTTGATGAATCAGTTGGTAACTTTGTTTGTGTTTTCTGCTTCTTACTTCTAAAAGTACGTATTTTTCGGACCATAAGACGCACCTGACCTTAAGACGCACCTCGTTTTTAAAGGAGGAAAACAGGGGGGAAAAATATTCTGAACTTTCGGTCCATAAGACGCACTCACTTTTCCTCCCACTTTTTTTGGAAGAAAAAGTGAGTCTTATGGTCCAAAAAATACGGTATTTTGCGCCTTCTTACACATTTCCAAGTTATTCCAGAAAACACTAATGACAATAAGAGACAAATTGGATGTCATTAAGTTGTAGACAGAGAACATGTAATTAGACAAGTATTTCATGCTCCTGAGGCCACATGCTTTCCCTTTCAAAAGATTATAAGGAAAAATTTCCTCCTATTTCTTTTATTACTAATTCACGTATTGCAAGTCTGATATTTGTTTTTGAAATCTCTGGAGCTAAAAGAGAATTTAGGTCATCTAAATAAAAGTAACTGGTTTGTAACTGCTTTAATTTTACATAGCCCAGTTTTCACCAGGATTCAGTAACACTCTGCTCACAAGAACTTTATGCACAGTAGGACTCTGTTCTAGTTGTTTTATATGCAAGATTTGGTTACCAACCTACGGATGAGGCCTGGAGTTCTCTTGGAATTACAGCTGATCTCCAGAGATCCATTTACCTGAAGAAAACAGCAGCTTTGAAGGATGAACTCTGTGTCATCACATCCCTGCTAGGTCCCATCCCCTTCCCAAGCTCCACCCTTCCCAGGCATCCCTCCCAAATCTCAGGAATTTCTGAAGCTGGAGTTGGTAACACAAAGTGACTTATAGCATGTGCTTTTAGGTATGCTAGGTATGCCAATAAAAAACTTTCTGGTCTCTTGACAACTGACCATGACCAGGAGGCATGGGATTTTGAGAGCAGTTGAGAATCTATTATATGGGAAAGAAGGAGAAGGAAAATTGGCCTCCTCTAGTCTCTAGAAATATACAAAATCCGGTGTATGGCAGTGGGGAGATCCCCAGTTGTTCCTCTTGCAGTTTCCTAACAGGCCATTAACTTGTATATTCAACTTATTATGTTAGAAACATGCATCTATTTCCTCAAGAATATACATTCAGGTTCTGTGAGGGTACTCCAGGGGGTCCACAAGTCCTTTTTAAGTAGAGAGAATATGTTCCTCTCAAGTCCGCCTAGGCAACATGACAATGGGTATGATTGACAGGCCTTGCTTCCCATTTGACATGCCTAGGCAACATGACAATGGAACTGTCTCCATGTGGGAGCAGGGACTGTTATCCTCAAGGGAAGGAGACTGATTTAACTTCCCCGTCTTTTGAAGGATGGGAGCTGATAAAACGATTAGTCACCTAATGTCTTATTATTCTCAAAGTACTAGCTAAAAATGTGTTTTAGTACGATGATATAGTCGCACCTAGGTACTGTAACTGGCTGAGTTGTTATAGTTCTAATAATGTATTGGCAAGTAATCCTAATAAGGTATTCATAGTTACTTCCACTATAACATTGAACTGGTTTTCAATGTGTTTTCTGATGCACTAGCAAGGGAACCTTTACCTTTATGAAATCCTATGAAATAAAAACTTTTTAAAAGGGGGGTCGAACAGTTTTTTCCATCTTTTCCTGTGTTTTCTAGTGAATACATGAGTTTTCCTGCAGCAGCCTTTGAGTTGCTGTTAGTTTGCAGGTTACCCGTTTGGGAGTCCCCTGTTTTAGCCCATGATAGAACCTCATCACAAAATCAGAACAAATGGGGGGGGGACTATAAAAAAGTGTTGGAAGACCGCTCCTATAAAAATATATTTTTTTAATTTCTCATATATTTCAAGCAATACTGTTTTTCAAGGTGTCTTCCCTTAAGGTAGATGAATCTGTTTATCTTTAATATTGGAGCAATTATATACTGCCTGAGCTCAAGATAGATTATATACTTCCTCAGATCTGAAGAAGTGAGCAGTGACTCATGAAAGCTCATACTCTGCCACATATTTTGTTAGTTTTTAAGATGCTACTGGACTTCTTCCCTTTTCTATACTGCCTTGACAGACACTGGCAGAAGTTTTTTGAGCACCAATATTGATTCAACTGCCTTAATTTTAAAGACAATTTTTCATGAGAGAGACTCTTGAAACATTGGGAATAATTGGCCCAATAAGTTGTAGTTATTCAGTAACAAAACATATGGATGGTGTACACGATCACTTTCACACAGTCCCTTATTTGGCTGTAATATTGAAATGGATTCTAGTGTTTAGTGGATTCTAGCACAAATTAAGTGTTGGGCGGAGCATCAGTTTTGTTCCAATTTGAATTAGGATTGGTGAGATTTGGTGTTGGTAGGGGATATACGCAAGAAACTTGTGCATACACAAGATCCTTCTGTTTCCTGATAAGCCAAGACACAGGGAAACTTGGAGCTTGAAAGAAATGTAGATACACACATTCTTAACAGCCAGTGAGAACATGAGACTGAAGTAGAATATTCAGGATAGCTAGGGATATGAGAAAGTCTGTGCTACTGACAACAATGGTGTGATGTGTACTAAGGAACTCAGTGAGGAGGACAGGAACATGGGAATTGAGGTGGGGCTCTGTTTTACACTGAAGGTCCACTGTGGTTGTCTACAGTTGCAAGGTATTACATATATATAATAGGGGAATTTGCCTTTTTCGCACAGGATTGGTGTTGGTCAGGATTTTGGATTTCACAAGGAAGTAATCAGGGTTTAAATGTTACTTTAAAAACCACAAGTACAGTTTGCAACTGTGACGACCTCTTATTTGGGGAGGTCTAGTTTTACTTTTAAAATGTTCTTTATGTTTGCTCTAAGGGTAAACTGGCTGCCACCAGGAATTTTAATAAATTCCAATTCTTCTCTTTGCTTCTGGGGTTGGTATTGTAGTGCGGGGTCTAGGCCTTTCGAGGAACTATGTGGTCTGAGGAAGGATTCTTTACTTATCTGGTAAACTTGAAGTAAATAGGATTTATTTAACGAAAGTATAAACACGAGGGTGAACAAGGTAAACAGTACTGGGAATGATTTGACCAAATGCTTGGTGTCTCTCCCAAGTCTCTCTCCACTGACAGGGATATTTCATAGGCAACTTTATAACTCTTTTCACTGTACTTTTCTTAGGGACTCTCAGCTTTCAACACTGTTACTCTTATAACACAGAACTTAACCGTCTGCTTCACACAGAGACTTCACTCTTATATTTCACACAGGAAAACTTCTCACACAGAGACCTCAGGACAAAACTCATATTAACTCTTTTACACAGCACACTCTGCTCTGACTCATCAACTGTTTAACTCCACTGTTTTACTCAACTGTCATCTCACTAACTGTCTTTTTCAACTGTCATCATAAACTGTCTCAACCCTAACAGTCACTCCTGATAGACATTCAAATCATCCACACAGCATCCATTCCAAAAACCCCTCCCCCCTCTGTCACTCACCAATCACACAACTTGCCTGTTTCAGCATTCTAGATTGTCCCACACAGCCATGCCAACCAACTTTTAAACACACACACACACACAGTAAAACATGGAATCGTTACAGCAACATTTACATATTCAATATTTCTATTCCATCTGTACTGCTTGCACCTAGGCGTTGGGACAGCCAGAAGTCCACATGGCCAGGATCAAGGCAGGCGGGAGTGAGTCAAGGCACACAGCAATTGCAGGCACTGTCTTGCAGTGCTGTTGATCCCACAACAGCCAGAGCCTAACTGAGGCTATTTATAGGAACTAGTGACTGCAGGTGTAGCATTGCCTGAGGTCTATAGGTACTTATAGCGGGACTTAGTTCAGTATCCTGCGATGCCTCATGAGCAGAGGCCTTGGCAGCCAACTATACAATCTGCCTTCTAAGCTTCCACCCTAGTTTTCTGTACTTTCTGCTCCTGGAGTTCTGACAGTGACTGTGGGGTCTCTGGTAATGGATGGGTGTTCTCAGCAATCCCAGTCTCTGACTCTGGTTTATGCCGATAGGCCATTTGGCTTCTGGCCTGACAGCCAAGGCTAGCTGTGTGTCCCTTGAGGGTCCAGGATCTGCCAGGGTTTTGACCTCTTTGGGATAAGCCACCATGGCGTCCTCATCCTCTGACAAGGACTCATCAGGCCTAATCTGTATACTATCCCTCAATCAAAATGAACTTATTTGCCATTTTCTAGTGAAATTACTCCGAATTATGAAGACAGCCATCCAGAATGGGCCATAATTTATTTCTATTTACTTCATTTATACACTTTCTCCCAGTGAGGACCCAAAGTGGATTACGTGTTTCTCCTCTCTTCCATTTTATCCTCATAGCAACCCTGTGA